AGAACCTTGCTTTTTCCGATCATCTTGAATTTATTAAAAGATGAGATATAAATGAACAAGAAGGTAAAACATAAATCTATTTCAAAAAATAAAAAAAAAAAATAAAAAAAAAATATAATTTATTTTGAATCATGTAGGAGGATTAGAAACTAGAAATACCGCCAAAGATCGTGGTCGTAAATATAGTCACGAAATTGTGCATTACCATTTCTTTATCGGCCAAAATTTTATAATATTCAAATGCTCTGATTTCGTCTTTTTCAGGTCTAATTTCTTTTATTAGAATCTTTTTTGTACCAATAAATTAATTTTTTCCCATAAGTTTCAGTTCCAATACCATTTTCATAACAATGAAATTGTCCGATAATACTTCCATTTTCCACAGATTTTTGATACAAAATTTTTATTACGTTAGATTCCATAACCATCACTATAACATTTAACAAGATAAACCTAAGTTTTCTTTGGATGATTTTGAAAATAGTTCGACCGCTTTAATGCTATTTTCTACCGTATCGGCCCTGCGATTAACTTATCAACAACTAAATGATTAATATTATCGGATACCAGCTTAAAAAATTTTCCTGACAATCCCATTGTTTGAATTGGCATGTTTCTTAAATTTTGACTAGATTCAATTATATTTGATTGAGAAAATTGACTATTCGATATATTATCGAGACATAAAACATAATCATTTACTATTATTTCACTTAATTTTGAAAAAAATATTGAATCATCATATGAATCTTCTTCAACCTTATCATCATCATGTTCCGAAGAAATTATGCTTTCAAGGAATAAAACTACTTGGAAATATGAACGAGATGAACGTCCAGATATACAACAACATCATTTAAAAAAAGGAAAATTATTATGAGTAAATTATTTACTTTTATATAAGTTACTGTACTTTGTAGGGGTGTCATCGACAACTTCTTCCCCTTTTCCATTTATTACATCCAAAGTTAATCTTATTCCATGAATACCGTGAAATGATTGTTTCCCACTTGAAATTTGCCAAATATTATACACATTAGTTTTCTCATTTAATTTGTAACTTGATTCTGATGTTTTAAAATATTCGGATCGATGTATCGATGTATGGTATCACACCGAATAATTTCGACGCATCTTT